CATAAGTCTTCTAGCCAAAACCTGACTTTTTATAATTAAATCTGACCATTGCTGCTTTTGCATTCTGTCTTTAGCTTTTGTTCTACTATCATACTCACCTTTGCTAATGATTTAAGGGTGATTTTAAACTTGTTTCTTCATAAGCTTGACTCTAATTAGCAATGCACTATTATATTCAGAAGCCCATGTCCATTTTTGTTAGAGCCCTCCTCTTGATTCAGAACTGTAAGTCCTTTTTCACCTCATTGCCTTGTTACTCATTATTTGTTGTACCTTGTGTCTGTATATTAGAAAATCCAAAGTTAAGGGTCTGTTCAGCCTTAGAAAAGAAGGCTTGGGAGACCCTATCACCCTGTTCCAGTATTTAAAAGGATGGCAACAAGGAAGATGGAGACTGTTTTCTTTACAAGGAGTCACATGGAAAAGGGAAGGGGTAATGGGTACAAGTCACTCTTGAGGAGATTCCAATTAGACACAAGAGGGAAATTTTTCATAATGAGAACACAGCCATTGAAATAATCTCCCCAGGGAAGTGGTGGATTCTGCAACATTAGACACTTTAAGATTCAGCTGGACAGAGTGCTGGGCCATCTTGTCTGGACTGTGCTTTTGCCAAGAAATGATCCTTGAAGTTCCTTTCAACGTGGTATTCTATGATCAGGGGTTTTTTGTGACTTATAATCTTGTCAAGTCATAAGAGTGAATTAATACACACAGAGGAAACAAAAATTGACCTGTGAATCTAGCAAACTTAGCTCTTTGGTTAGCTAGTCAAGGACTGCATACAATTCATCATTAGTAGTTAATAGTGTCATCTGGCTGTAAGTCTGCATCGTACTCCATATCAAACTGCAAAATCTCAGTAAATATTTGTCTTGAGCTTGGAGGGTTGTGTTCATTTGGACTGTGTCGACCACAAAGAGTTTCACTGGTTTCAATGCTACCCCATACCAGACTCCAGACTCCCTAGATTAATTAAGAATGATGTCTTACAAAAAGAATTATTGCTGGTTCTAATTAAGCTTTGGAAGCTTTTCACAGGATTTTTGACACTTTATCCACTGCTTATTTTTAAACAAACGAGTTTGTTGTTTATTTTCCTACATATAGAAATGTTCCCATCTTTCAAAAACTTAATTACTTAGCCAAGCTCTTACAGAAGCCTCAGTTCCAATATTTTTAGACGAATAAAAGAATGTCCTCACACATTGATGTCAAGATTCCTTGAATTGAGACATTTGTTTCACAATATTTTCTTATTATTTTGAAGGATGTTCTTTAGAAATTGTATTATGTTTCCCAAATCAGAGAACTCTCTCAGATTTCCTTCCAGTACAGTCAAGGAACCTAACTTAGTAAATCTGATATTTCCTTCAATGAGTGTTTCAGTTTCATCATTATCATTTCATTTTAAAGAAATTAATTTCTCCCTTTCACCTTGTCTCAGTTAAATTCTGAATAACACATGATTTTTTCAGTACACTGAAGGAGATGTTTCTTTACCAGGAAACTATGTTCTTCAGTGGTTCAGATTCCATGACACATATTTTACTTAACTTTTTTATTAACATTTTCAGAAACAGTTTTATTTTGGTCATGGGAATGCTCCATTCAGAATACAGATCTATTAGCAATTTTTAATATTACCATTTATTAATATTATCTATTAGCACTGCAAGACCTTACACTCCTGTTATTTTGGTTTGTTCTTCTGGTGTTTATATCTTCATTCAGAAATGGTATATCTGATGTACGTAGTTGGATTCCACCCTTAATTTTTTGTGGTTTCTTTTTTTTTGACTCTGCGTACAAGTCTGCCATGAATGCTACTTTTTTTTATAATTAAAGTTTGTACTTTAAGTAAAGCTAACTTTTATGTTCATAGGGGTATTTACATGATTCTTTTGCTACATGGCCATGATGTATACCATGCTCTTTCCTTGGTTCCTGTTTCCTATTTCCTAACAGACTGTTTAACTGAAACTCCAGTGATGTGATTCTGACTTATTCCACAGTGCATACAATTTGCAAATGCAAGGGGAAATTTTCCTTCTTTTTATGCTGTCACAGAACAAAAAGTCCCACTTTTGTGTGCTTTTCTGCAGAGTACTCACTTTGAAGTCTGACCATAATGCCAGAAATACATGGTGATGTTTGCAAACTGTTTGGCTGCAGTATGCCTGGTAGTATAACGTTGATCTTAGGATTTAAAGTGTACATTTTTCAAAACTATAAACCTGTTTAAAACCTAAATTTCCAGTCCTTATGTAGGATTCACAGCTCTGAGTGGGAAATTAAGACTTTACGAGTGCCCCTGGGCACCCCACATGAGATCACTTAGCTTTCAGTGTAGTTCTTAAGATATTAGGGCCATCAACCTATGAATACTAAAGTGGACAGTACTCTAATTAAGAAATCCTCTATTTTATAAGTACCTGGGGGAGGATTTACAAAAACAGAGAGACTTTGACATTACCCAATAAAGCTGTTTGCCATGTAAGAAATATCAGAAATCTGTGCAATGATAACTCATGGCCCAATTAGTATCCTCTAACAAAATCAGTTCAGTAAAGTTGACAGCAATGGTGAGAATGGTTGCTCCTATTATGCCAGTCCTCAATATTCTTTTCCTAGGTACTTTGGGGTTTTTTTCACTGAGCTTTAACTGTGAATGTATAAGAGACAGCAAGCCTCCAGCCCTGCTTGGAAGACAGACTCATTGTGTCTCTTTCAGATGTTCTCTGATATTCTGTTAGAATTAATAATCTTGGGAATGTTTAGAGGTGTTTTTGTCCAAGTCTTGTAAGTACTGTACAGCCATATTTTTATTATTTGTAATTGGGGTGTCATATATTTTTCAGTTCTGCATGTAATTTAATATAGAATATATGCCATAATAAGATGTTTGTGTAGGTGCATATATATATGCATATATAAACACATATATGTAGGCACACACATACATTTCTAAACCATAGGAATGTGCACAAACCAGGTTAAAAGAACAGTAATTTTTGCTTATTCTACTCCCATGATCCTTAAAATCTGAATTCTCTGTTCCCATGTTTATATTTCACTCTTAAGCACTGCTGGCCTTTAAACAGATTTTAGCTATTACAAGATCTGCAAGTTGACTAAACGCTAGGTGAAGAATTACTACCTCTTATGTATGTATTTGTTTGAACAAGCCCCTTTGAAACAAGAAAGGGATCTGGGCTTTGTTTGATATATCATGGGATGCAAAGAATCCCTGGTATTTCAGCATTCTTTGTGCACTGACCTAGTCATAACAGTTGCACATTTCCAGACTAATAATTCTATTGAGAGCCTGAAGAGGCTTTGAGGATAGAATTGTAATCCTTTGTATTAGTCATTCTCATGTCCTGTGTTTGATCTGTATTCAGTTTCCTGCATATATTGACTAAGTCACATTGTTACTGACAGTTTTCCTGAGGCTGTTTAGTGGCCTGTGCCTGAAGGCCATTTGCTTGTGTCAACTCAAATCTTTATTTGGTTTGTAGGGAAAATGCACGACTTGCATGTTGGGAATGTGCTATTAATTTATTTTATTTTACTTTTAGATCTTTATGTAGAACCACTCTGGATCTTTTTGATGGCTGCAAAGTACTTGTCTACCTGGATTTTGGCTTGCCCTCTCATTTTTTGAGATGTAGAGGTCCCACACCTTATCACACTTAGCATACGTGTTTAAAATGTGTTTTTTCCAGCATAACTGTCTTTTCTCCTGATTCAAAGACAGTTTTGCCTTTTTCTCTATCCTTGCTTTAATATAGACTGTTCCTCAACTCTTTTAAGTTTTTATTTATTTGTCCAGCAAGCCACTGCTGCTCAACTAAGTAAAACTGAGGGATACCAAATATTGTGCCTCTGTGAAGGAAAGCTCAGTTTAAGCAGTGAGAGTATCTGCTCATCCACTGCTTTCTTCTGCCCTTTTCTTTCTCATTATGGTGTACTCTTTGCTAGCTAGCTCATGTTTTATTACTGGACAAAAGGACAAGGGACAACCCTACTTCTTCCATAGTTTTAGAGTCTGGTGAACCCATCAATCCCTGAATTCAGCAGGCACAGTGTTTATACCTGTTTATTATGCGTATATTCTTCATATGGATGCTGAAAAAAGTATATATATCTTACAAACCAGTGATAAACTTTTCAAAGGCACTATCCATGCTATTGTCTGATTAGTTAGTCAGGGAACAAGACATTGTTGATCTGTTTACAAACCTGTAAGGGTTTTCTTGTCATAAAGTAGCAAATAAAATAATTTTTAACCATATTAAAATATTTTATAGGTTATACAGCCCATGTTGAAAATTAGAGCCCCTGCTTCCATCAGCAGGAAAGGGTAGACATTTGACATAGATATTTCTTCTTTTCTTTTCACAGAACAGATTATAGATAATTATGGTACATTAACAAATGCAAACAGTGGAGAGTCATATTTAAGGAAAAGTAGAAAACAAGTTTTCATTTTGGGATAATTGGAATTGTATTGACATGCAGTGATACTAACAGGTTTTTTTCAGGTAATAGATTACTTATAGTGATAGTGCAAATCTGGGTATTTCTGTATGTAATGTGCTTAGAAATAAGTAAGAGAAAAGCATATTGTTGATGGCTTTTTTGTTCTAGCAAGAAGACTTTCAATCACGTTTTACTGTACAGCAGAGCTAGATAAATATTGTAAATAAAAAATATTTTTTTAATAAAATTATCATTTGTATTCATGGATAGATGATTGCTAATGAAATTTATATATTTTATAAATGAGTTATCAGATATTATTAGTTATTGTTTTCGTATCTGCATTGTTATTTATTTATTAATATTTCTTATAAAGGTATTTATTACTATATCAAGAAGTATGCATATTTCAATGTGTGTAAAAGAAGTTGGAGCCATTTCTTTTAAAATAGAAACTGCTATTTTTAGGTCACTGTGATGTTTTCACTGAATTGACAACATACATTATGTTTCAGGTGAACTGTGTGAGGAGAAACTAGATTTCTGCGCTCCAAACCTGAATCCTTGCCAGCATGATTCAAAGTGTATCTTGACACCCAAAGGATACAAGTAAGTCTGAAATATTGTTAGAGTCTAACTGAATCCAAATTTATATTTTTCTATCCTGCTTAGCTTCGTTTCCTTCTGTTTTAGTGGAAGCAAGTTCTGCTCTCCTTTGGTTATTAATAAGCATTATGGTCATTATTTTCATATAGAATGACATTATTATCTTAAGTATGTTTTGCTGAATTTTGCTGATCCTTAACAGTTCTAATTCCAACCAGATTTTAAATAGGATAGTCTATATGATGGTCCTTTTAGGAGCTTGCGCTGTAGGAAAATAATTGCATTTAATTGAAGTGGAATAATTATACTGCTTTTAGAGAAGTAATTGTGAAAGAGATTATTAGGAAGGCACACTGGAAGGTATAAACTAAAGAAGTCCCCTCCCAGGAAAACTAATCTTTCATTACACCATATCCTTATCAGAATTCATTAGTATGCACAAGCTAAAGTTGTAATAGGCTTTAGGTTAATAAACACAGGAACCTAGAGCTTTCAGTTGTTCTCACAAGTACCTGTTTTATGCACAGCATGCTTTTATGCTAAAATCAGATTATTATCATTCCCGCTACTTACAAAATTACATTTATTTAAAATATGCAAAAATATAAAATATAATAAATATTCAATTGAACATGACATAAAGTTGATAGTTTCCAACTGTAAAACAGAAAACTTGTTGGATTTCTATATGATTATTTTCTTCATGTCACTTCAGTAAACCTAGTTAAGCATCTGATGCTTTACTCCTAGTTCATTAATCTTTCCTTTTCCTTCCTGAGATTTTACATAAGAAAATAGTACATGCGGTAAACTTCAAGAATGTATCTCAGTCAGCTTTTTAATCACATGCTTTATAGTCTTTTTTCACTTTTCTTATTCAGTTATGTTGCTGAATAGAAATAAGACATATTTTTTTGAAGTATGAAATTTAGAGTTACACAACTATTTTAAATTACTCTTGCAAGTTTTAGATACTCACAGAAATAACACCAAGGAAGTAATCACAAGATCTAATGAAATCAATTAAAACTATACTTATTTTGGAAAAAACAAAAAACAACAAAAAAAAAAAAAAAAAAAAAAAAAAAAAAAAAAAAAAAAAAAAAAAAAAAAAAAAAAAAAAAACCAAAAAAAAACATGTGGATGCCTAGATTTGTAATATTTTCCATTTAGTTTTCACGGAGTTGTGAGCTATATGTCTACTCATATATGTAGTAGTCTACTATACTACTCTATGAAAATTCCCTGAAGAAATGACACTAGCATTAGCAATGACAGTTGCACTTGGGAAAAACAAACAAACAAACAAAACCAACCCAACAAACAAAAAAACATTAGATATGATCTTTAGGATATGCTGTTTCTAGTTCAGTGGGGGTTCAGGAAGGGAAAATTATGTTTTGAGACTTCTGTTAGTTCACTCACCATGGAGCTATTTGTAGTATGGAACTTCAAGGGAAAGAAAATTATGCACAACCTCCAAACCGTGTAAATGGACCATTGGTCCATTCAGAGCTGTTCAGCTGACAAAGAAAATAACCATTAGTACAATGCAAGCCTTGGGTTATTTGTCTTGGGTTCACTTACTAAGCATATTGATTATGCTTAGTGTTTGCAGCCACGTACAACATCCTGTTACATTCTGCATTGCTCAGAAATACTGTCAAAATTATACATGAGGGCTCTCTAGATTTAAACCACAATTCTTCAATATAATGACAGGTGTGTAAATATGTTTAACCAGCAAACCTCTATTCATTACATATGTAGATTCCCCATATACTAATGTGATTAAGCTACACAGTCATTACACACAAAGTCACAGTAATGTCTTTTTTTTTTCTTGAGCTTTAAAAAATTCAGTAGTTCCTTAACTTTGTCATAAGCATAGTGTATCATTAAAAGACACTGTGCTATCCAGTTTGATTTCCTGTTTTGCAGATGTGATTGCACACCCGGATATGTTGGTGAACATTGTGATATTGACTTTGATGACTGCCAGGACAACAAATGTAAAAATGGAGCTCAGTGTACTGATGCAGTTAATGGATATACATGTATTTGCCCAGAAGGATACAGGTGAGAAGGATCTGAAGACAGTAGAAACATGTATGTCATATGCCAAAGTTGGGGTTTTTCTTGGAAATACTGATTTTCTTTCTTTTTTTTTTTCTGTTTCCACTTAGTGGCTTGTTTTGCGAGTTTTCACCACCAATGGTTCTACCTCGCACCAGCCCTTGTGATAATTATGAGTGTCAAAATGGAGCCCAGTGTATCATAAAAGAAAGTGAACCAATCTGTCAGTGTTTATCAGGCTACCAGGGTGAGAAATGTGAAAAGTTGATTAGTATAAACTTCATCAACAAAGAATCCTATCTGCAAATCCCTTCAGCTAAGATACGCCCCCAAACCAATATTACTCTACAGGTAAGTTTGCTTGAGTTGTAGATTTTCTCTTCTGGAAAAGAGAGTAAATGACTCTCCATTAAGTAGAAGAGTACCCAAAGTTGTCAATGGCTCACTTAAAGAGCTTTTCACAGTTTGAGCTAAAAATCTACAACAGTCAATGCAATAACTTTATATTCATAGTGAAGTAGATGCGCTTTTCGATAGGAAGAGAAAGAATTTTGTCAGGTTGTCCTTCAAGAGGGAATTTTATAGTGAAGTAACATACTATGGCAGTTAATTCAGAGATTCTTTTAATACAGCATTTTGATTTAATATTTATTTTAAATTGTTCTTTCTAAATGTTTCTTTCTTTTAACTAGATTGCCACGGATGAAGACAGTGGGATCCTGCTCTACAAAGGCGATAAAGATCATATAGCAGTAGAGCTGTACCGGGGTAGAGTGAGGGTCAGTTATGACACAGGATCATATCCAGCCTCTGCTATTTACAGGTGAACCTGGATGAAAGAAATTTCTAACTGAAACAAAAGCTGTATTAATTCCTTATATCAAAGTCACATTTTTTAACAGATGTTTAAAAGAAGCTTATGCAAATGAATGTGCTGTTAGACGGTCAAAATCTCTTGCCAAAAGAGGTGATTTGGCTTGGCAAAATAACTCTAATTCAGATACGTCAGAAAGATAATATATTATTTGATGTATTAAAACTGAGAAGATTTAGCTTCCAGCAGAGTATTTATACATTTGTGTCAAGCTCCCATGTAGAAGTGGAATTTTGTAACTGACAAATGATTTCCTAGTGTACCAGGCAAAATAAAGAACTCTACTTCTTGAGCAGAAATTAAATGGAGGCTTCTCTTCTGTGTTAGGCAGTCCTATAATGTGGGACTTTTCCCTGGCAAGTGAAGAGAACACTAAAAACTTGATTCTGATAAAAGGCAGTACCCTTGGAAAAGAAATGAGTTTGGCTTCCAAAGTCATTAAGAGACAGAATCCACAGCTGCTTCGGCAGCATGATTTTTCAAGGCATTTTTAAGTCAAAATTTTCCAGCTCTCTGAAAAATTTCCACCTGAATTTATGGAGAGGTATTATATAACTTCACAAGAATTTGCAGACAGACATTGCAAGAGTGAGCAAAGAGACAACAGACATCACTACTTAGCACTGACTGCTCTCTTTTTGCTAAAAATACCTTCAAAAGTAAAGGGGAAGTGTTAAATCAGTTTTCCATAAGTCTTATTTTTGCTGCTTTTACACTTTTAGGGTTATAAAATCATATCTAGTGTATCTAGTGTGTAATTACTTTCTAGCGTTTGTAACAGCTGACACTGTTCTGCATTCTATTACAGACATTTCACTAAAAATAAATGATTTCTAGAAATGATTGCACTCATATGGCAATATAAAATCAAAAGTTCAAGTTTATATAGCAAGGAAACAATGCTAAACTTTGTTAGGTAATAACACTAAGGGAGCTGTGGTTTTAGTGGATTACTAAAAGCATTCCCCAGGAAAAAAAAAATCATGCCTATAAAATACAACATAAAGTTGCTTAGAAAAAACATAGTCTTCTCCAATAAACATCTTAAGGTTGCTTTTATTTTTTGATGCAATATGTATTTCATAAGGTCTCCTTAAAATTCCATTAAATTACTACTATGTAAAATAATACTTTTTTTTTTTTTTTTTACATCTGTCTGAGAATATGAAGCAACAGGAATCAGGGTCATATGTAGTTTTGGTTCTCATTTGTTTAATCTATTGAGAATACTTCTTCCCAGTCAGAACATATACTGTCTTCTCATAAATTTAATGCTTTCTCTGGCATTACTAGAATATATAAATACTAGTAATTCACACTTGCCCCTTTTAATTTTCTAGAGAATGATTGGAAAACATTACTCACACAGGTAAATTAAACACCATAAACATGGGGATTAATAACAAAGTAACCAATTAACAAGCAGTCCCACTTAGGTTATTGTTACAAAACAATTAGAAGAATCTCCCCTGCATAGCTGATCATCTCCTTTGAATTATGTGACAAATGAAGAATGCAGGTGCAGTGCAGAAAGGGATGGTAAATGTAGTGAGGTGTTACAGTGTGACACAGTTGTTTTTAGTGAAGCAGATACACACTTGAAGTATTGTTGTTGTTTTATTGTTAACCTCCATTTTGTTTCGAATAATTGGGATGCTGAGCTTCTGAGATATTTGAAAACTTTCATGTAATGGTCCAACTGTAATGAAGCCTTGTGCCCTTACAGAAAGGCTGAGGGGATACCTTATCTCTCTTTGCAACTATTTGAAAGGAGATTGTAGCCAGGTCTGAGTCAGTCTCTTCTCCCAAGCAATAAGCAATAGGATGAGAGGAAACAGCCTCACGATGCACCAAGAGAGATTTAGTTTGGATATTGGGAAGAATTTCTGTGCAGAAAGGGTTGGAACAGGCTGCCCAGGGAAGTGGTGGAGTCACCATTCCTGGAGGTATTTAAAGAAGTGTAAATGTGCTGTTTAGTGACATGGTTTGGTGATGGACTTGGCAGTGCTGGCCTAATGGTTGAACTTTGTGATCTTGGAAGTCTTTTCCAACCTAAACAATTTTATATTTTCATGATTCTGTGTTGGAAGCCATATACAGCTTTCCTTATTTTTATATATGTTTGTGCATCTAGTGATCCCTGTACAAATTACATATTATTTCATATCTATTTCAGGTTCTAGAAAGGCATATGCAGTAACATAGGGTCTTTTACACATTATATTCTAATCCCTTCATCATTTCCAGTTCTACCTTCCTAGAATCTCTGTGATATTTCCTGCCCTTTTTAAGGTCTTTAGCTTCTTTTCATCCATTTATTGCATATTGTCTTTCTGTTCCTTTTTTACCTGTTAAAGCTGTCTCCTGGCATGTTTCCAGTCTTTCCTTCAGTCCCTCCCTTTGGTTTCCTTCATCCCTTCCTTCCCTTTATTTTTTAATAAGCCAACTAGATCTGATCATCTGCTCCAAAAACTGCTCACAGACATAATCTACATTAACATATTCATTTGCTTTCCCTCTTCTCTATTTTGTCTTTCTCAGCCTCCTCCTTGACTCAATTTCCAATACTGTTTTCCTCACAATCCACTACTATCCATTACTTTTGCTTGCATTATTCAAACTATTTCTTTGCAGTCCTACCTCTTTCTCTTCCTTCTCAGTCAGCCTAGTTTTTGCTGCTTCTGAATGAAAACCACACAGTTTTGTTCTCTGCTGCTATAACCTTGATGTAGCTAAGGCAATTCCTGCTCTTTGAATGGGTTGGCAGGCTCATATCCAGCAAGTACTACTGCAGTCCAGAAGTACAGCTGGAGAGAAGGTGCTAATCATCAGTGTGCTGAAATACAGCCAGCATGGACCAAGAATTTGGGGATCTGGCCCTGCAGTATGTGCAGAATTACATGTTTTCAAGATCTTAACACCTTGTCTCAGTGCATTTTCAAAAAGATGACAAATGGATAGACATGGTGCCATCCCACTGCCAAAAGTCATAACCTGCAAAGCAGGGTTAATAGAACTATAAGAGGTAGGAATATGTTCCCTTTACTTTATGAAACTATTGGGTCTGTTTAGAGGACTAAAAATAAGCTTCCTGCACAATTCAGTATGGAAAATTTTAGAAGAAACAGTTGAAGTTTACCAAAATTATAAGTAACTAAAATAATATTGTGAAGTATTGTCATAGGTTAACCCTGGTAGGCAACTGAATTCCACACAGCCACTCACTCACCTCCCCGTCTAACACCCCCACTTGGACAGGGGAAGAGAAAAGAAAGAGTCAGAAAAATCATGGGTTTAGATAAAATACTTAGTATTATGAAGAGTATTAACTTTCCAGACAGATCCAGTATAAATGGGTGATGAATTATAGAAGAAAACAAGTTAATCACTGTTTTATCAGTGAGATATGAGTATGATGAAAGAAAATTTAAATCATAATGTTTAGGATCAATGATGGCTAAAGAACAGTTTGATAACAAGACATAATTTGCAAAGATGGAAAGTTGCTTACACTGAGAAGGACTGAAAGGAAATTAAGAAACTGAGATTTTTATCAAGAGATTTAGAGATTTCTTTAAGGAAGTGAAGATTCATGTATAGTATAGGGAAAAGAATAAGGCAAGTTGTACTCCACTGAACAATGATGAGATACCTGAAACAGAGGCAAAAAAAGCCCAACAAACAAACAAACAAAAATAAAACCAGAAAAACCAGCCAACAGAGAGATTCAAATAAAAGTTTTATAATATAAATGGCACTCAAGAAATGGTGTGTTGAAAAGGAGTCAAATGGCAGCTGTAAAGCCTACAGAGGTGCTTCCAGTAACAAAGCAAAGTTACAAAGAGATGATTTAATCATGATAAATATGAAGAATCAACAATAACATCAGTCTAGCTGTGTAAAGTGAATGAAAACTGCTTTACCAATGGGACCTGACCACAGAAAGAGCCATCATCTCTAAAGCACTCATAGTCAATCTGAGAAACAGGATGAGATGATGGCACTGTCAAGACCAATAAAGAATATTAGTTCAATGGAGATGGTTATTTGTAAAATGTTGATCCACTTGTGTTTTGTGCTATCTGGACATCATTTCTAAATGTTAAATGTTTTTTCATGAAAGAAAAAAAAACCTTTTTCATTCTGGAAACTACTTTTCATCATATATTTTTTGGAAATATGGAAATATTTCTTCCCAAATCATTATTCTTCTACAGAGTACCAGGAGCCTTAAATCAGTTTTTCTTACAGCTATTCATTAAGATCTATGCATTCAGCTCTCATTTCTCCAATGGGAAATGGGCTAGAAGTAATGTAAGGGCATTGACAGGAAATATTGCACAGATATGCCTTGTGTTTATTTCCTCTTTAATTTAAACCACCCTTACCTAGGAGGGCTCCACTCTCTGTTGTAAATTTTTACCAGTAAAACAGTTTAAACCAGAAGCTTTTAATAATCCCTCTTATCAGAGACACGTTCCCTTTACACATTATGTTTTATACATCCCTGGAATAACCCATCGCTATAAAAATGCATTTTATGTGTTCCTCTCATTCTTTAAAATAGTATTGTGTGAAAGGTTGATAAGCTGTAGAATAACAAGCTTCCTTGAAACAAAAACCTTATATTAGGGTTTCTTGCTTCCTGAAATCATGAAGTCATATCCACTGATTTCTTAGCACATTTTTTTTCCTGGACTCATTGAAATGTGTAAATAATTTAATCATGGCATCTTTATTATTGGTTTGCACAGCAAACAAACTTCTTAATGCCTTGAATTAACCTGGGTCTTTAGGAATGATGAACCCTGACCTTTCCTTTCCCCCCACAGAAACTGGCAGTCCCCCTCCTGCCAACTCCCATAAAGTGTTTATTGTGCCAGTCTCTGCTCTGTCGTATGTTTGCACTTTCACACAGAGCTGAGTTTATGTAAAGCATGCATGCTACCATGCAGACCTTTCATCCATATTGAGCAGAGGCTGTTCACATCGAGTAGGTAATGAATCGCTAAGAAGCTATTTAATGTGTCACAGCTGTAAGCAACCACGTGTGCTTCTGATCTGTTCCAGGACAAAAGCAGTTAAGTTAATTAAAACATCATTAAGGATGTTTTAAGGTAATTTGCTTGATTTTTTGCCTTGAGGTTTAGGAAGCTAATCCCTTTCAGCTATACTGCTTTCTCAGTAAGAGGACTGTGTGACTGTTTAGTCCATCTCAGGCTATCATACAATTGGCTCATTTAAATAACTTTTTTCAAAGGCTTAAGCTCACTCATTTGATGGTGGCCTGAAACAAATAAAGTCTCTCATGGGAATGGTTGTAATGTCTGGTCTCTGGACTACAGCTCATTGACATACCTTCCATGCAGCTGTATATATTCAGCTCTCATTTCTCCAGTGTAAAATGGGCATACAATTTATGCAAGTACAATGATATATTCAGTCCTAGAACTAAGTAATGATATTCTTCCTTCTCTGATGTACTTAAACCGTGTTCAAGCATAGAGTAGTTACCCTGCACTTAAATACTTCCTGTGTAGATATTGCAGCTGAAAGGCATGGGCAGCCATTTCTTACAGCTGATATAACATGAATAGGCTTGCCCTTATACAGCGTAAGCATCATGCTTGAAACATTTTCTGCTTGACACCCTTCAGGTATTCTCCTACTAGTGAGTTCATAGCTTGTTAGTAAGCAAAAGGAAATGGTATATGTAGGCAAGAAAAAAAAATATTCATATTTACTGTACTAGCCAGATGATAAACACACAGAAAAAACTGTCCCCAGTAAAGATAAGAAATTACTTTACTAGTAGTGCAGTGGAGCTGTCTGGACCAATGACGTGATTTTGTCTAGCAGGACGAAGGTTAGATGCAGTTCCATATTTCATGAAATAGTAGATTTATGTATCACTGGAGTCGACTCAGGCCATCATACTTACAAAATATGTAAACCCATACTCTGCAACATGTAGGATACACAAAGGCACACATACAAATACGATCTTGGAGTAAAATTAGGATCATACATCATCTAGTTCTACCTTCTTTGCCATGGAAAGGACAACTTCCACTAGATTAGGTTGCACAAAGCCCCATCCAACCTGATCTTGAACAAGTCCAAAAATTCTCAAGGAACGTGTCCCAGTGTTTCATATTAACCCACCCTCATATTAAATTTTTTTTATGTCACTTCTTTTACTTTATAGATTCTATCTGATCTAAGTCTACCCTCTCTTAGAGTTGCCCCTGCTCCTGTTAATACAGGCCTTGGTAAAAAATCTCTCCATCTTTTCTATAAGCCCCCTTTGAGTATTGAAAAGCTGCTGTAAAATCTCCCCAGAACCTTCTCGTCTCCAGGTTGAATGACCCCAACTGTCTCAGCTGACTTCATAGAAAAGGAGTTCCAGCCCTGTGATCAGGGTTGCAGAGGAAGGGGTGTTATATTGTATTAGCTTTTAAGCGTATATGCGTGTCTTTACTTAAAACCTAGCTTTCAGGAGAGTGCACTTCTGGAGAAGTTCTGTTCTGAAACTGTACAAACTCTCACAGGGAAAGAAGGTAAAAAACTGCTCTAACCAGACCATAATCTTTTTAATATTAATGTTTCTTTTGCAGTGTGGAAACAATTAATGATGGAAATTTCCATATTGTGGAGCTGCTAGCTATGGATCAGATTCTATCTTTATCTATTGATGGAGGAAGCCCCAAGATAATTACCAATTTGTCCAAGCAATCCACTCTGAATTTTGATTCTCCGCTGTATGTAGGAGGTAAGAGGATATTACTGCTTCTTACTAGAGGTATCATAGCTAATTTGCTCTGGTAACTTTATTAAACACATGGTAAGAGACTCATTCATTGAGATAACACCTTAAGATGAAACACAAGCAGTTAATCTCAATAGTTTCAATTTTAACAAATAGTATGTCCTCCAACTGCACCTGTTGCTTTTTTATAATTATTTTTTACCACTGTAAAATTCTGTAATTTTCTACTGTTACTTAGTATTCTATTATACTGAAGAAGAGTGCTTAGCATTGTTTAGCTACTATAAGATTTATTAATGCCTATTCAGAAAGTATAGAATGGTAGCGTCCTGTTTTGCTTATGTTTTACATTTACATTTTACTATTTCACTATACAGGTATCTGCAGGAAGTGATAGCGAGGTATAAAGCCATGAAATATAATTTATGTCTGGAGATCTTACTGCTTAGGGCTGATAGGAATTAGGTAAGAAGGGAACCAACTGGACAGCTGCCTCACAGTATGTGACAGGGCTTGTTTTTTATTTATTCATTTGTTTTAAGAAGAAAGAGCAGTTTGTTTAGGTAAAACTGGTAGAGCTAAAATATTTGAAAAATTTTTGATCATTTGCTGGCATTTACTCTGTAGAACTATGGATTCAAGCACATTGTTTTAACCAGCAGTTCCTGTTGAAATCCTAATGGACCTCTGTAATCTAAGTAAAAGTCAGAAAATTTAGCCACTGCTTTGTGCCTCCTTACTGACCTTGGTAGCAAGTTTAAGTTCTTAGCAATCAGAGATTCGGCATGGTTTTTAAATACTGCTTATCTTCTACCAATTTTCTGGTTCTACTTAGTTTAACCTTATGGTCTTATAGGAGGCATGTAAGGAGTCTCCTTCTGATCTGTTCTTTCTGTAAAAAGAATACCTATTTCCTTTTTCATTTTGTCTAATTCTTAAGAACTCTTTTTTTTTTTTGTTTGAGAATAACTTTTTAGACTTAAGCATCTTGCCTCCTTGCAAAAAAAAATTATGCTACCAGTAGTGCATTTGTGAGATGACTACTTTCTCTAGAAAAGGTGCTAGTTATCTTCCTTCTAAATACACAGAAAAGCTCAGGGTACTTGCTCAGATTTATCTCTAATGGAAAATAAAACCAGTTGCTTTTGGTCCTAATCAAGAATTGACCCTTTCTCCTACAAAACTAGTATAACAAGTGCCTCAATTGCAAGTGATGAGAAGTAACATGACTTGTCTGAAAATTCCCATTCTTCCCTTGAAACACTTCAGGTTTTTGTCAGATCTTTTCAAATTTTGTCATTACCTCCTCCCATCTAAAATGGGAAGAATTATAAGATAGAATTCAGTGTTAGCCATCACTCTATATACTAACAGAGAAAAGAATTAATGTTATCAGTTGTATTAGCTGCCTTTAAAATTGCTTCATATCATGAATTTTCAAAGGAAGATTGCTCTGTGGAAGCACATTGCATTTTTTCATGTGTATCACTTCTGTTGTTTACACAGTATCCTATGCTGCATTTTTTTGGAAGAGATGGTCCTAGATTCTAATAAGTAACTGTGTGCTTGCTTACTTGTATTGTCAACATCAGTTTGTTTAATGACTGCTGAGGCCAGTTGTACTACTTGAAAGCTGAACTTAGTGCAAAACAATGCCCCTGCCTATTACAGGCACCTTTTGATGAAATGAGGCTACACTGCCAACTATAAACATTTATTTAAGGCACATTCTTGACACTGAGATGATGATTTGTGACATATGGTTCTCTTCCTTGCTTCTTCACCTTGAAAATCTGTGCCTTCATTAGGAGAATCTTACTCATCTGCCTCATCATTTCGAAGTATCAGAAGAATAAATTTTGTGAATTCAGTGGTTTGATTCCTAAGAGCAGCAGTTTTTTAATTCTAGTGCATATTCTTTAGAGAGGTGCTGTGTTTCTTCTATTTCAATTCCTCACATTCAGGATTCAAGCAGACCATTATTTCTGCTTTCATAGAAAATGTTGGGCCCCCCAAAAATAAAGAACAATATTATAAGCACATTATAACAAAATGAAGGAAAAAATCCCCCACTAGGTTGATGGTCAAGCTCTTAAGATTTTCTGTTCTTTATCTATGTTCATCTAATTTATCTACTTAAAATTTTTAAAATTCTTGAGCCAGTTACTTTTCACTCTTGTATCTTTCTTTACCCATCTTTTTGAGAGTCACTAAATTTTTTCTTATCCAACTGTATCTAGATTTTTTAGAGAATTTGATCACACATTTCCATCAGTTAAGAACTTAAATTCTCACTAAGATTTTATGCAGTATTCTTATCTTTGCCAAAGTCTTAGTTTGACACCTGTATCATCACGTAGCTTACGCTTACTCTTGCCACTTTCTTGCTAAAATGGCATTTCTGATAAGCATCACCTCAGCTGGCAGGATGAAATTGAGACTTGACAGTGAGCCCTTGTATGGTGTGTGCTTTCATTCCCTTTCATTCCCTCTTATTCCCTCGCTCCCTGCCTCCCCCCAGCTTCTTTTTTATTTTTTTTCACTGTTACTCTTGGGTCACAATATTTAGGTTGGTTTGGAAGGAGTAATTTAACATTATTTTTACCAAAAAACTGATCTAATCGATTTAAACTTTTTTTTTTACATTTTTCCAACTGTATGGTTCTTTTGTGTGGTCAGAATACACAGGTTAGATATTTTTCAGTCTTTCTGTAACAAATTTCAGTAAATCATATTGAAAGCCCATGTCTTCTCGTAAGAAGTCTTAAGGGACAATCTGTTTCTTCTCAAAAATTCTTCAAAGGCGTCACAGACATCACTGATACTTCACATTCTTCTCTTTGAAATTAGAGCATATTTTACTAGTTGAGAGCGACCTCTTGTTTCATGGATGTTCCTACTTCCGAGACAGGTAGAGTATCAGCTGCTCCTCATTTCTAGCAGTTTCTGCTCATTTCTAGCAGCTTCTAGAACGAGATACTAATTTTGACAGTTTTACTGTATGACTTACTTAATAGCGGTCTTACCATTTACCTCCTTGAGCAGTAGTTTACTTGCAGTGAGGTTCAGTGACCCTCAAAAGAGGGTGGGAACTACTCTCTTACCATACGAAAAATAGATCTGAAATACTTCCCTGCATTATTTCTGTGGCACTCGTTTTTTAACTGTTAAAAAATCCATGTATAAAAATTATCTAAGAAATATTACTAAAGCTTTTGCACACATTTTTGCCTTCTAATATTTGATAACTTGCTAGAAGAAGCAAAAAGTGTATAGGCTAAAAGCTTGTGTATATGCTTGCATTGTGTTTCCAAATGTCTTCCTTATTAGAGATTTAAAGACAAAAAATTCTCTGAATCATGTGTAATATACCTCCTATTATCTGGTATCCCAGATAATTATTATATGGTTCCCAGAAATAACATCCAAATTTCCTGACACAGGTATAACAGCTAGTTTAGCATTGCAGTGGTGTGCTAGCTTTATACACCTTTTATTTTTACAAACAGTAATTTCAGAGCATCTATTCTGCTATGAGATACTTCAAACCATATGCCTAAACATTTGCTGAGTGTTGCTTTCAAGGGAGACAACAGTGTGAAGGGGCCTTGATGACTCTACCTTGTCCCTGGTTTGCGAAAATGGCAAGTAGATGTGAGGAAATGGAAACTCATGATCATTTGCTATCTCAGTCCTTTAATTCAATAGCTCCATGCCAATTTTACTGTGGTAGTTTGACCTGGGCTGTATGGCAGGTTCCCACCAAAGCTGCTCTATCACTCTTCTCCTCAACTGGAGAAAACATAATGAAAGCTCACGAGTTGAGGTAAGGACACGGAGTGGTCACTCACCAATTACTGTCACAGGCAAAACAGACTAAACTTGAAGAAATTGATTGAATTTATTGCCAATCAAAATCACAGTAACGTAACGAGAAGTAAAAAAATTCCTAAAGACACCCTCCTCCCTCCCCTCCCTCCTTCCTAGGCTTAACTATATTCCTGATTCTCTACCTCCTTCCCTCAAGCAACACAGGTAGACAGGGAATGTGAGTTACAGTAAGCTCATCACATATTGTTTCTGCCACTGCTTCCTCCTCAGGGAGAGGAGTCCCTCCCCTGCTCCAGCATGGGGTCCCTCCAGTGGGAGACAGTTCTCCACAAACTTCTCCAACTTGAGTCCTTCCCATGGGTTGCAGTTCTGCACAAACTGCTCCAGTGTGGGTCCCTTTTTCCCTGCAGGGTGCAGTCTTTCAGGAACAGGCTGCTCCAGCATGGGTCTCCCACAGGACCAATAGAGAACATGCTCCAGTGTGGGCTCCTCTCTCAGCAGTTCCATGTCCTGCTAGGAGTCTGCTCCAACACAGGCTTCCCATGGGGTTAGTCTCTTTTCAAGCATCCACCTGCTCTGGTGCAGGGCTCCTCCATGGGCTGCAGAGGGATCTCTGCTCCCCCATGGACTTCCATGGGCTGCAGGGGCACAGCTGCTTCACCATGGGCTGCACCATGGGCAGGCTGCAGAGGAATCTCAGCTCTGGCGTCTGGAGCACCTCCATCCCCTCCTGCCTCGCTGACTTTGGTGTCTGCAGAGTTGTTCCTCTCACACTCATTTCTCTCTGGCCGCAATTACTTCTGCACAATAAGTTTTTTGGGTTTTTCTCTTTTTTAGATACATTATCACAGATGTGTTACCGCTATCACTGAGTGGCTCAACCTTGGCCAGTAGCAGGTCTGGCAACTTCTCACAGAAGCCACCCTGTAGCCTCCCCGCTATCAAAACCTTGCCACACAAACCCGATACATTTCCTTAACAGATAAGATCAAAGAAGATTAGGCTCTTCAGCAGTATGGATGTGATATTGTTCATTTCTATAATCACTGAAGCCTAGCACAAATGAAATTACAATAACCTCTAAATGAAAGGCAGGTCTACTTCATTAGGTTGCACAGCACTTCTGTATTACTCTTAATTGTTCAGAGTAACTATAGAATATCATTAGAAGGATCAGTTTACATGGTTAAGGAGCAACTATGCAAAACATTGCCACTTTCTGTCATTATCTAAGCACAAGAATGAAAATTTTTAATTTCGCCTAGGAATAATGCAGTTAATAAGAATATTTATTTACAAGGAAAACCAGATCCTTTCCTAATACTCAGTGCACTTTGATTTCCTCTATTTGTGAGTCTCAGGAGGTATTTAGGCATTTGTGTATTCATGATTGGAAAGTAATATCTTAAGGACTACCTACTGTAGGCCAATATGTTGGCAATAAGTTTAAAAAAAAAATCAGGTAGCAGGAGTAGAAGAAAATTCATATTTAAAAGAAAACAACATTTAATATAATGTTCCTTCTGAATTAATCCTAAATGCTTAACTGATCATAACATGATAACCGCATATACACCTGTAAAAGTTATAGACTGTAACCAAGAAATTATCCTGAAAATGGTCAACACTGGAGGCATTTGCATTCTCTAGAAATATATACACAAAAATAGTTTAATGTTGAATTATTTTTATGATTGACTTTTTTAGACTGTAAGGGCAAACTATGAGTGTCTTTTATTTTTATCTTATTAATCTGCTTTTGAGACATGCTAAACAAAAGTATTTTTAAAAGTAAACTTTTGTTAAACTTTTCTTTCCAAGACATTTTCCATAGCAAAATTTCACATTTGAAATGTGTACACCAGCTCCAATTATGAACTGGTCCTACTAAATTCTTCTGGATTTGAGTATCTTATCTCACAGAAAATCATGTATCAGCTGCTAAATTTAAACAACTTGTGTATTTCTGAGATTCAGAAATTATGTGCTATCCTGGACTTAACTTTATTAGCTCAAAATCAGGCATCTAGCTGACCTTCTCACCATTCAGAGCTTCTTGTATGATGAAGTCTGAAGTGTGACCTAGAGACTTGCAGGTTTGGAGCTGATTTATATGCATGTTTGACAACCAGGACAATTTCCAATTGATTGTTCATCACTAGTTTATGGTTGTATCTGAGTATCTAAGAATAATTAATTAAGAAAAAAATATTTCTTTAAAAATGTCTAAAAGATAGAAAAAATGGTACAGGAAATTGTGACAATGATTACACTGACCATTTGCCATTATTAATTTTCTAGGCATGCCTGTGAAAAATAACATAGCAGCTTTACGGCAATCTCCGGGACAGAATGGCACCAGCTTTCATGGTTGCATCCGCAATCTGTATATCAACAGTGAACTTCAGGACTTCAGAAATGTGCCACTGCAAGTGGGAATTCTGCCAGGTTGTGAGCCTTGTCATAAGAAAGTTTGTGTGCATGGAACATGCCATGCTACCAGCCAGTCAGGCTTTTCCTGCGAGTGCGAAGGAGGATGGACTGGACCCCTCTGTGATCAACAAACCAACGACCCGTGTCTTGGAAATAAGTATGTCTGCTCTCAAGACAGAACAGTAGTATATTATGCATATAAGTGTCCTGTTATAGGTATTATTTTCATAAAAGTTCACAGTTGCAAGAAGCAAAATAACCAGGGCACGTAAAAATTAAAATAGCACTCCAGTTATAATTTATTCTTTCCATAAACCTAATGAGGAAAAGTTTCCAGTTTAGCAGATCAGTTTTACCTAAAGCCTGGGAGGTGCTCTTACATACTTCTGTATGGGCTTCTTCTGCAATGAATTGCACTCATGACCCTTGGTACAAAAATCATAGTTACAAATGGAAAAAATTCTATTTGCTTACCTATAATTGTACAGAAAGAGGAAATAATATTGTTACTATTAATATTAATATTCTCTACTCTGTTTAAAAAAATTGATATGACATATCTAATATTTTATATTTTCATAGTACCCCAGGTTTTAGCAGGAAAAAGGATTTTGATCCTTATGGTAAACTTCTGTTTAAGTCTTTGTATGCTAATTCTATTTGCTAATTCTAGTTTGGACATTTTATATATGTCTATAGACAAGTTCACGTATATAAATTTGTAGAGAAAGAAAAGATATATATGTGTATACGACAGTATTGATATTTATGCATATACATCTTTTAAATTTACTGTAGAGACAGATTCAAGTTTTTAGTTCATGGACACCCAGCACAAGAAGATCAGAAACTTCAGAAGTTCAAAGTTCTTCAGGATTTATTGACCTTGGGCAACAAGATGTCATTTGTATTTGTCCTTACCGCTGTCCCCACTACAGCTTGGCAAACGACTTTTTTTGTTTTGGTGGTTGTTTTTTTGGTTTAGAATAAAGTAGGCCTGCTTGAATCTTTTGGCTGCTGTTTTTTAAAATACTTTGGCCTATGTAACTTTTTACTTTTAAGAACCAGCAGCCTGAGTTTGCTAAGACTCTAATAAGATGATTTTCAACTCCCATTTAAAATGATGTTTAAATTATCTTTCCACATAGTGTGTGGAGAGTCTGACCCTTTAAAGCTTTATACAGCAGTGAGCATGCTTTACAATGCTGTTAGAATTGTTTACATTGGTTATAGACTTTCAGTGTCATTAAGCGCTTTCAAGAGCTAGAACAGTGAATTTTTGACGCATATCATTATAGAATTTCATTGTTTATACGTCTCTTTCTTAGCCTGTCCTCTTTCACAGTAACTTTAATAAAAGGGAGTGACGGCAGGTTAAAAAATACAAATGCGACTTCAATCATATCCATTTTATGCTTTAAGAGTAAAAAATAACTTCAAACTGTAACCACAAGTTCTACCAAAAGAAAAGCCAAAGAATTTCTTTAAACTATCCTTGAAATATTAGATTCTTCATAGGTTCTTATAACTGTGCACAGTAGCACTCAAACTGACTGCTTTTTTTTGCAGCAAAATTACAAAGTTATCAGTATCAGATACAGGCAGTATCAAAGATAGAATTAAGTGAGCATAGCGTTAATATTTTGTTTGCTCTCAGAGGTATTGAGTTTGTTTCAGCTGTATACAGTGCTATGAGCTTTTAAGAGCGCAAACCAAACCAAAATTGTTTATTTTGAGTGAAGGTGGGCTTTGTTGTTCTTTAGTTCCTGGGGATTTTGATTCTGTATTTCTTCATGCATCTCTAAATTGTGTCTATTGAGTAGATACCTTATCTCCATCTAATACAGTACAACATTCTGCTTTATCTGAGAAACAGAGTTGTCACTGTGATCTCTGTTTCAAAAATACAGGTTATCTGTTAGGTATCTCTGCGCATTATGAAAAGGCTTAAGACTTAGATTTATTTTACCTAACTCCAGGTGCTTGAATTCAAAACATAATGACCAAAATTTATTTTCTAGTCAGTAAAGGAATAAACACATATCAAAAGAGTAAATTAGACTTCAAGTTGTTTAATCACCCTTTGGATAAGTTTATTTCTGTCCATGACTTTGTATGGAGCTTATGGCAATTATACATCTAACTTGAGTGCCTGCCATAGGTACCTAAAATTAGATGAGATGAAATTGTGCCCAAGAGTTTGCACTTAGCTTGATGTTCCTTTCAGTACCGTCTGAAGATGAAATTTAGAGCTTCAAAGAGCAGGTGGAAACAAAAGTATGAGAGCTGGCATTAGCTAAGATTTAATCATCTTCTAAGTCAAGCAAAACTTTGCCAAAGATTCTGACACAGATTGCTTTGATATCTGAAGTAGCCTGTATAGAATATGACATGATGTCAGTGTCACCTGAGTAACTTCATAGATCAGATGTCCTAAAAGCAGATGTTTTGTAAATGGTGAACAGATCAAATGCTGAACATAATGAAAACTAAACAAAAGCTGTCTGCCCTGTGATATTGCCTAAGCCTTCTATTTTGAACTGCTTGATAAGTCTTGGAATATAAGACTTCAACCACAGAAACAATTTGTAATTTTTGTAGGGAGCACAGTTCCTTCAAAATACGGACTAATAGGAAAGCTGGAGATGCTTAAGCTATCAGTTTTAATCCCAAACTGGTTATGTGAATGGAGGCTACGTGCTGTGCCTTCTGTTTAAATATCCTGTGATGAGACTGACTTCCCATATTCTTTTTTTCCTCTTAAGTTACACCATGCCTAAAGCACTTGCACAGAATTAGAGGTACAGATGGAGAGTTGTAATGGAGATTTCATTGATGATTGAAATTTGTTGATCTTTTTAAAATGAAACAATTTTAAATGGTTAATGCAAGTTTTTCAGAGTTAAAAAGTATTGTGCACTTTTCAATTTTACCAAATCTCTTATTTTACTGAAGGAGTAAAGAACAAAGAAAAAAGTTTTCAGGAATACCAGCTATGTTAGTTAAAAAATTTCAAAATGAGATGTTACTCTTAACAGAGTTCTTTTACTATGACATGCAATTTTGGATTCATTTTTGTCATCTTCAAATTGAAACAAATTATTTTATTTTAGATCAAATGGGATTTTTTTTCTTTTTTTAACCTAAAGCTTTTAATTTATTTAGATGGCTGTCACAACCTACTACGGAGGTTGTGACCTCAAGGATCTTACAATATATAGAGAGAAGAACCTTAGAGAGGTGAAACATTAGGAAAGGTGACTGTGGTCTTGAACATCAGGATTGCATTCCACCTGGTGTTTTCCTGGGAAACAGTATGTAGATAGAAAACTTGTCGGTCAATACAACAGTTAAAGAGAATAGCATTATTTCTAGGAAGAAAGTTATTGACCCTGTACTACCAAAGGAACAAAGGGAAGTGATTTCATTCCAAGTCATTGGTGATGTTTTCAGAAGATGAAATCCCCTAATGTTCAGCTTACACATAGGAACAGGCAATTAAACATCCTCCTTTTGGGAACCACTACCTCGCTCTCGAAAAGAGATAAGGCCAGCTGTGTATTCCCATACTACTGTATGTCAGAACTTGGAGGATGCAGCTTTACTCAAAATCCTTTTTTTTGTCTAACAACAAGATTTGACACTGCCACAAATGTTTAGTGAAGCTCAACTGAGAGATTAGCTAGTGTAATCACCTGGGTGAGACCTGATAATATGAGACCTTATCTAGTGTGGGCTTCTGCATGAGAACTCGATACATGCTGTTGTCTTGCAGGGAAGTAAAGACTTGCCTCATACATTTTAAGACCCTGCTATTGGCAACTGGCAATGCAGAGTAATGTATTTGAAGGGGACGCATATGTCCAGCTTTGAAACTTACATTGCTTGGGTCAGAAAAGTTTCTGTCCTTGTGCTGGGAGCCCCATGCTTCATGATTGACAGTTTGGGGTTTCTTTTAAATGATACATGAACCAGAATTTCAGGTGAGTATCCTTCTTCTGTTGCTTGATTTTGTGGTGTTCTTCTCAAAAGCATGCTGAAAATCTAGGTAGACAAATGTTGTTTTCAGTAACTGTGACCTGTAAAAGTCTTCCATAACACATCTACAGTGGCTATTTTCTACTGAGAGAGTTTTGTACTCCAGTTTGTTTTATGTAAACTTGCATACCAATTAAACCACTTCACTGCATCTCACTGAAAAAGTCCGTTAGAAGCAAAAGCAATTTTTTCTGAGTACAGTCCAAAGTATTTGTAGTTAATGTTGCTTAGCCTGAACTTTGATGAATAATTTATTTTTATTCTCTTGGGCTTGTTTCCCCTGTAGATGTGTGCATGGTACCTGCTTGCCGATCAATGCATTTTCATACAGTTGTAAATGCCTGCAGGGACATGGGGGAGTCCTCTGTGATGAAGAGGAAATGCTGTTTAACCCCTGCCAATCCATCAGGTGTAAACATGGCAAATGTAGGCTTTCAGGACTTGGGAAACCATATTGCGAATGCGGCAGCGGATACACGGGGGACAGCTGTGATAAAGGTAAAAAAATAATTCTTTTTGGTTTTGTTGGGGTCTTAGAAAATAGATTTTTTTTTTTATTAAAACATGAACAGCCAAACACATGAACAGCCAAAAACATGACCAATTTTTTTTTTCCACAACACACACATTTGTTGCCTTTTTTTTTCTACCATAAGAATTTGTCTTGGTGAGAGAAAGATCAAACCTTTCCCATGAATTTGTTTACATTTTGAGGATTTTTTCATCGAATGCTTTGCTGTGAAAACATTTCTCTATTTTTTGCCTTTATTCAGAAACACATTTTTACTATATTTAACTATTACCTTTTTACCTGCTGTATCTTTCTGTATTTATTGTTTCTCTACCTTCTGCAACTGAGAAGCCAAATCCAATGATTCTGCTCCTAGTTTTATCACAAACTCTACTTTTGACCTCTCAGCTTCAACTGATTTATCACAGCGAATTATGCAGGTGAGATGGATGAAAACAGGATGACTTTTCCCCCTACCTTTTTCTTTTTCCTTTGTCTATCAAAGCTCTCCCTCTCCCACTCTTTCCCTTACCCCAGATGGCATTTATTTTGTATTGTACATAGATGTGAGTAGAACAGAAGAATATAGTTGTAGAACTTTTAACAGATGTCTCATTTTTCGAAGGCTTTATACGTCAGTAATTTATGAAGTTAGTGGAATGTAACTTATATTAAATAAGAGTTTGAATAATATTAAACTCCAGGTCTAATAAATTAAATTGCATGCTCTCTGAAACATTTCCCTATGGTAAACAGAACCAGCTGCAAGCAATGTAGGAACAGAAGATGTGTATTTTTATAAAAGAGAAAAAGATTTAGGCTTCCAATTTTCTTGTCATTGTAATGGCTTCGTATTTATGGTTTACATATACATAATATGAGCTTTACTGAAAATAGGAGGTATAGGGAATAAAAACCAGCATTAATCAAATTACGTTTGGTAGAATCACTAGTTTCCAACATACAGTCTGAGTCAAACTTTAAATATCAATCCCAACTACAAATAGTAACACAACATCTTCCTTAGCAATGTCAACCATTCTTTCACCCGTGTCTCAAAAGCGTATCTCTTATTTTAAATGTTGTTTTCTACAGAAATCTCTTGTCGAGGGGAACGAGTCCGAGATTACTACCAAAAGCAGCAAGGGTATGCTGCGTGCCAGACGACCAAGAAGGTATCGAGACTAGAATGTAAAGGAGGATGTTCAACCGGGCAGTGCTGTGGACCACTACGGAGCAAGAGACGGAAATACTCTTTTGAATGCACTGACGGGTCGTCATTTGTGGACGAGGTTGAAAAAGTGGTGAAGTGTGGCTGTACAAATTGTCCCTCCTAAGTGTCCCTGTCACACTTGTCTTTTGAAAATGTTGTATACTTATTGACCGTGTCGGACTAATTAATGCTTCATAGTGGAAATATTTGAAATATATTGTAAAATACAGAACAGACTTATTTTTATTATGAGAATAAAGACTTTTTCTTCATTGAAAAAAAAAGATTCAAGTGCTTGAACTGAGACTTCTCATACCCAAGAGGACCTTTGAAGATAAAAAAAAAAGACCTGGTAACATTGCAACAGAGATGGGAAACTTTAACTGCTTTTAACATGGATTCTTCTTTATAACATGCTGAAGATACACTGACACTAGACACATGTGACTTTCAACTTAACAACTCAGAGATGAAAAATTGACCACAACACAAGTCTTGGTTTTTCACTTTCGTATCAGTATATTTTATTGTCTTGACAGACCATACCAATCACTTACCTATGGATGAGGAAGCATTATAAGAGAAAAGAATCAGATTATATAGAAATAAAATTGAAAATTTTGTCTTTGGAATTATTAAGCATCTTGAGAAGATGGTGTCCCAGTTAATAAATGGGAAATGGGAGATACAAGAATATACTATAATCCTGAAATCTCCTGATGATGTATACTTTTATGTCAGCATGTTAGCAAAAGAAGCATAAAAAAAGTGTTTATCTTCCCTTTTCCAGTATTAATTTTTTGTAATATAAATGTTTTGGGGATGATAAAATAGATTATTGATGGATAAATTAGTAATAATATGGATTTCTGTTTCTATGAGTTCTAAACAACTCTATACAGTATTCGGTTTCATTGAGAAATATTTATTGTATCAAAGTACATTGTACTTAACCCTTTTAGGCCATCCCTTTTACTGTTTTTCAATGCTTTAATATATATTAATTTATATTTGTCCCAGTATTTTTGTATTTTTTTTTAAAGGACTTAAAAATCAGGATTTTTTGCAATAGAACTAACGTAGCGTGTCGTCTTGGGGTAAATGTTTTCGATCTGTTTTCTCCTTTCCATTCCCTTTTACTTTTCCTTAGAATCTGACCACTCGGTGTCACTGAATTGAAAGTGGTGACAATCTGCAGATTCACATACAGCAGATATTCAGGACACCTTCCAAGAACCTGTAATGTATGACAGAAAATGTCGTTACACTAGATGGCAATTGTAGAGAAGTTAATTTTCCCTATATACAGTACTTACAGAAAATAAGATGGCGTGTAGAAAATGACATTAGAAGATAGATCTTTATAAATTAATATTCCCATGGCGCTCTTTACCTTTTTTATAAAAAAAAGAAAAAAAGGCTGTGCTATCAAGAACTGTGACTTTCCCCAAGTAATAAAACTACTTTACTGCCCTAATGTTCCCCATGTTAACATGTTGCTGCTAAATTATAATGTAGAATTGGTAATCAATAGTGGGTTGTGTTCTTCTTTCAGTAAAACCCAGGGTACCCTGTAAAAATGCAGATGTTTTTTCAATTTTATTTTATTATTTTTTTTACAAAAAAGTTAGATGTACATGTGTAATGCAGTGTGCTTTGTCATATTTGGACTGATATCAGTAATGCTACTGATGTTTGTAAATTAAACAGATATTTACTTCATTTACAGCTTTTATTTGTATTCTTCTGAGAAGTTTAAATTGTTTAGTAGCCTTTAATTAAACATCTGTTGCAAAGAATATTTGGTAAAAGACAGAATAAAACCCAACCCTAGATCCAGTGTATTCAGTACTGAAAATCTAAAGAAAGAATTATCCTGTGATTATTACATCTAGAGGCAGTGACATCCGAAAGCGTCTGTGCATTGTGAAATCAGATGAACTTATACCAAAATTGAGAAAAGACTTAAAGTACACTGCAGGAAAAGGCAAACTGAGTCTATCTTAGTACTTTAAAGGTTATAAAAATGGCAATTTGACGTTGTTCTAGCAAGTGATTTGATTCTTCAGAAAGATTCATTATTGCTAATCTTTGACTAAGTGTTTTAGATTTAAGCAATTGGATGGGATAATACTTAACCAGATTTCTCTTCTGTAAGATATTTTTTACAAATAATTCTATATTTATTTTACTTAGTCTATTTTAGAATTTGTGTAAATATCCAATGAAAAAGCCTTCTTTGCAGCTTCTGTGACTGCTAAATAGTTTGTTGTAAATAGGGGTAGCTTTGAGGAGAAAAGAGGCATTTTTTGCCTAACAGTCCTTATATAGCATTCTTGGGTATGGAAAGATCTCTTAGAGCTCTAAGTCCCTGTACCAAGTATCCCTGTACCAATGAAGTTGGATTGCTTTCTGTCCTCATACTGACAGAGAAAGAGGAACTTTGCAGTGGTATTCAAGGAATACTAGCAGCTGCTGGTGATCCTGATGCCGGTAAGAGAAGGACATTTTGTGGTCCCTAATAAGAAAACAAAAACCTTTTTGAATAAAACAAACAGATTAGAAACAAACAAACAAACAAAAAAAACCCACACCCAAAACCAAACCAAACTTAGGCACCCAGCCATGTGAAGGAATACAAAGCACCCATATCAAACAGTGATTCAACTCACCTTAGAAACCTGAGCAGCCCTGCATTCTCACCACTGAAAGTCCTTAAGCATTGACGAAGTGTGCCACTGTGCATGCTAAGAGATAACTTCCTCAGTGGGATGTGTCACCCTGACACCTTCCTAATAGCTAAATCAATTTTCTTGTAGTATTGCTATAACAAGCTGCTTTGTACCACTGTTTCCCAAAAGGAAAATAGGCAATGGGATCTGACGAAACTGTTGCTTTAGGTATAGCTAACACAGTGGAGAATTCAGTTCACTGCAGAGCACTCCAGACACATTGGTTTTCATTCAAAAACATAACTCATGGGGCTTTTAGCACAGTGTTTAGGGATTAGGTGTTTCTCCTTATGTCTGCTACCTGCCGTAGGAATCACTTCCATACAGTTTGCTTTTAATGTACTGAATAAAATGCATAAACTGCATTGGGTCTGAAGGATATGACTCAGTACAAAGACCAAGTCCTCACTTCAAGTTCACGCTGCATACAATTCCTTTTTTCATTAGAAACTGTGAAAAATAAAATTTGCAGATTCCATCATTTTCTGCCAGTATTCTTAAAAGCTGTAAAAAAGAGAAAGCACATGAATACTGCTTAATTTGTACTGGCTCATGCACAGCTCTTACTGTCATCTCAGAGATGACAAAATTGTGAAAGATCGTGGAAAAAAGACCATACTTGAATAAAAGAGTAACAAAAGTCATTGTTCTTTTGTTACTGTTGAAAGTCAATTCAGAACAGGAAATATCACACATGGAAGCAGATTCTGCAGTCTGCATTAAAGTTTCTGGGGTAGATAGATATTCAAGGGATAGAAACACTTTTAAGAAAAACAGTGGTGAACTATTAGCAAGCTTTGAGGGATAAAGTTTATTTTCTAAGCTCTATTATAGTAATTTTGTCTTCAAAATACTTTTTATTGCCATAATGGGATACCATGAGCCTTAGTATTACAAGAACCTTTGTAATCTGATGATGGTGCCAAGTAGTATGATACTCATATGATAATAAGAAGGCATTTGGCTGGAAAGACAAGCATGCAGAGGTTTTATAAATGACAACAAATCTGGCAGACCTGATAATCCACCGTGTACTTGCAGGGATAGTAGCAAGGTACTACAGTAAGTGCATTGTCACCATGCTAGTTTTGATGAGATGGGTGGTGACGAAGAGATGAGGGGAAGAGTGGTGCATTTTGGAAAGGAGCTTGCTGTTAAGAAGAAAGTGCCCAGAAGTTCTGGGAAGGTGTCAAGAGTCTTGGGGGCTGTTTGCAATAAAGCTCTATTTTGGGAGCTTTATCTGTTGTCGCTTGAAACTTGTGTGTTTAAAAGAAATCTCTTTACAGTTCTGAAAAATGCATGCTTGATCTTTCTATCTTGAGTTAACCCTATTGTTTAAGAGAAAGTTTATCTTTTCCAATCGATTCAAAATTCCATCTTTTGATTCATTTTCTTCTCCTTCAGAAGGAAGTGTTATTCTTGCAGTAGCTTATTAGGAATGCAAGTGTCTGTTCTTCAGCTATCCCACCTTACAGTGGAGAGCCTGGCACATCATTTCAGTTCCCATAAAGTGCAATTCACCAGCTGAGCCATTCAGGATTCTTGGCTTTTAGAAGAAATATCTATAGACTGAGCTGGTATCCAATCTATTTAAGATTCCTGGAGTGGAAATCAGAAAATCATTGGTACTTGTGACTATGTAGAGGCTGTCAGGAGTACAGTAAAACTGAAGTGTTTGCCTGCATGCCTGGAGAGCCCGGCTCATCCTGGAGAGCCGAGTCTCTCAGTGTTTTTTATGTATTGTGTTCCTGGGAGACTGGGAAGTCATGCTCATCCTTTCTGAAATATTTGAGAGTAGAGGGATTTTGTGTCCTTCTGCAAATAAATTGTCTAGGTTGGAAATCATAGGCCTCTTTGGCCCTCAGCCAGGTTAAACTGTGTATGTATATCTTAACATCAGCCATCATCCTGGACACCAACAGACCCCGATGTTTAAAAAAGTGAATAAATCTTGCTCTCAGTTTAATAAAACACAGATGGGAAAAGCAAACCAAACAGAGAGTTAACAGCTCTATTCACTAGTCTCCTGGGCTCCGTGTGATTAAATCAGAGTTGGAGGGTATGTTCCTGCTGCTGCTGTTCTGGCCAGTGTCCGTAGGGGTGATGGCCAGCAAAGGAGAAGTATTCTGTCAGAGCTGCATGTCATTTGTCAAGCTGAGAAAAAACAGTCATCTCATTGAACAGCAAGACTTCTGGCTATCCACAGTCCCAGCAAATATGGTCCAGCTCTACAGCATGACACCCATGCTGCAGGAATTTTGTTCAGCCATGGGAACAGACTTTAAAACTGCCTCCCAGATCCACAACTTTATTTCAGAATGTTGATCTTAGTAATGCTTTTGGGTCTTTACAACTCCATCCTTTTATTTCATTCCAGATTAGAGGTAAACTCCTTTAGTTCTAAACATCAAGCCTTAGTACTCTCCATCATTGACCTCTACTAGGTACAGGAAATTAAGACTTAGGGGTTTTTATTCCTTTTTTAGGTATTCATTAACATTTGTAGAGGGATCAGAAGACCTGCCTTAAAGAAGAGATAAGTTATACATCCAGCTACAGAAATAAAAAATTTTCATAGCCTTTATAATTCAGAAAATGTTACTTTCTGTGGAACAGTCTCACATCCATAGATTGAGATAAACTTATTTTATGGATTTATAGACTTAGACTAGGAGACTTGATATCTGGTTTTGTCTGCTGCTACTTTTATATTTGTAAAAATTCCTTTTAGGATACTTTCCATATAACAAGAGACAATGAAATATAGAATTAATGTGCCTGGGTTGCTTCCTCAGTCATTAAGATTCCTTAAAACGATCCAGTAGCCTTTTTCCAGGACATTTTTCTTCTTTCTTACAGTTTTTCACATTCTAGGCTTCAGTCTTATGTTTCTGTGAAACTTTGTACACTTTGTTTAATTTCCAGAACAGATTTAATCCTTCCAAAGAGAGGGAAAGGATACCTTCTTTTTTCTGCAGCTGTGCCTAAAATCTCTCACAGAACATCTTTAGAAGTATGTTTTCTTTCAAAGTCCTCTGAGAATAGGTTAACTTGAGCCGTTTTTACTGCAGACTTGGTTTTTTTTTCTTTTGCTTCTGATTAGCTTTATTTATTTAATCACATTTCTGTGTTTCTGCTATGGTAACAGCAATAAGACTAGTACCATCTGACCTGTGCTTTAGAAGTTGCTTGCTGTTTTTAAGTAACAGTTTAAAGAGTTTGAGGTTTGCCTGTTCTCTCTCCTTTTTTCTTTTTTTTTTCTTTTTTTCTTCTTTTTTCTCCCCCCCCCCTTTTTTTGTTTATTTTTTATTGTTGTTTTTTGTTTAAGAAAGGTAAGAACATGAGACAATATCAACAGTAAATAAAACTGACCACAGAGAACACATAGATCTACACAGATATCTGAATATCCACAGCGAGACCATGTGACACAGCACATACATCTCTGCAGAAGAAGGTTCACTATTAAAATAAATTTTTTTAAAAAAATTAAAAACCCCACAAAACCTAATTAGACACTTTGAAAAGCAGCCTAAATGTGAAAAGTAAAGGCTTTGTTAAGTCCCAATTCATCAAAACATTGCTCATCATCTGTTATCACAAAAGAAAGACCAGTCTTTGGCATTCATGCCATCCCTACTGCTCCAGGCACTCCAGACACTACTTGCTTTCCCCCTTTCTCACACACCCGACTCCAGACCTGTCTGTGCCTGCCGTTCCCACAGCCTTCCCAGACAACAATTCTTCCTTCCCTTCCCAGTTAGTCAGAGCAATCACCTTCCTGCATGTGCCTTCCCTAAGATAACTTGAGGCACCTAGTCGGGGCAAAACAACTTGCTGGTGATGGAAAGAACACTCACCAGCTAATTAACATTCTAGCATTTAAAACTCAAGTATTACTTATTAAACTATTACAGAAAAGTGGTTGTACCAATGAGCAGGAATTGTGGCTGTCAAAACATTTAAGGAATAAATCTCCCTTCTGTGTGT